ATATATTAAAAAACCAGTTTTAGCAAATTGACCAAGTATTTGTTCATGTTAGGAATAGACAATTAGACGAACATTAAAGCAAACTTTTGTTTTTCATGTTGCATCATTTTTCCTTAAATGAAACTCCAATTCCTCTAACTGGATTTGGTGATTTGGAAGCATAATATTTTTTCTTTAGACTGCTACACAGATTGAACAAATTTGATATCTAGACCGAAGAAATGTTGTAATATAATTCAAATTTTAGCACAAGAATTTAAAAACTTTGATCTCAAGTTAGAATCTCTTATTTTTTTCACAAAGTTTGACTTTTAATCAAATCTTGTTACTTTCCAAATGTAAAGTCAACAAATTTTGATGGAAATGTAGAACCAACATGCCAGCATGTCTGCTTTCTGAAAAGTCTATCTTCTGAAGTCAAATATGGTCCTTCAGGTTATACCCAAGATTAACACAAAATGACACAAAATAAAATAAGTATTATGAAAAAAAACTAAAATTGTGAGTTTAGAAAACAAACTTGATTAAACTTTAAATCAACATGGTTATCTTTTTCTTTTCCATGTAGTTCTCACCATGGCTGGATCTTTATATAACCTTACCCTAAACTGTCACTAGTACAAAACGTATTTTTTAGTGCGATGAGGGTTTTTTTTTGGTGCGGTTTTAGCCTACGACCGCACCATTAAAATACTTTAGCATTAATAAATCAAGGAACGACACTAACAAATGCATTTTTTGATGCTATTTTCTTTAAAAGCACTAATAAATGCATTTTTTGATGCTATTTTTCAAAATCGCACTAATAAATATAATTTTTGATGCTGTTTTCTAAAACCGCACTAATAATAAATGTATTTTTTGATGCTGTTTTCTTAAAAAACACTAATAAATGCATTTTTTGATGCTACTTTTAAAAATCGCATTAATAAATGTATTTTTTGATGCCGTTTTTCAAAACTACAGTAATAGCAAATGCATTTTTTGATGCGGTTTTGGATTGAGTTCCCTCTTTATTTTTGTTCCCGGGCTGAAGCTCCTTCCAAAATGTCATTCCCCGCGCGATGCCTTTCTCTTCCCCTTTATATTTCCTTAATCTAATTTCATTTGGCCACACAAACCTTAATATCATCGACTACTGCCTCCCTCACCAACATCCTTGGGTCCTATCACCCGTGTCTGCATCATCGTCGATTCGGGCTGCCATAGCCTCTATCATCTCTGATTTCAGTCGACCTCACTCCTATCGTTGCTGATTCACGACTTCAGGTTAGCAACATGATGAATCTGAATAATCTTTGAGGAGTCGACCTCAACTATAATCATCTTTGTCCATCGCGATCAACCCAGCGTCAAGAATGACATGTATGTTTCTGATTTATAATTTTCATTCATAAAATTACTTAGTCTATATGTTTGATACTCTGATTTCTTAAGTTAGGTTGTGGAAGAAAGAAGGGGTTGGGCAAAGAAGTTTGTGACGTTCAAAGGAGAGCACATATCTATGCAGTGGAAGATATAAAGGTAGGAAAAACCTAATAAAAAGAAACAATAGTCTTTTATCTACAAAAATTGAATCAACACAAGTTTTTCCTTTGTATTGATAATATTTCTAACCTGTGTAATTTACCTTTTAATTAAATGGATTGTATGCCTTTTGATAAAAATTACTTTGTAATTGAATTAGCTTCTAAATTCCTACCGAAGCGAGGTAACAGAGTCAAAGGGGGCATCGTCTCCAAAAGTCTGCTAGATACCGAAGAGGGGTCATATGAAGATGGTGATAATGAAACTGAACACGTCTATATAAAAAAAAAACTTGAATATGCTTATGTAGTTAACTTCCTAAACAACTTACATACCTGAAGTTATTATATCAATTTGTAAATAGATACAAGGATGAAAAGGTCAGAAAAGAATGTGATTTTTTATTAAGATAATTTGAATCTCTTGTATGGTTTGTGCCTTTACATCTATTATGATTTTTTGTTGTTTTGTTTCTGTATTGTAAATCAAGCAGTTTATGATATTTTATATTGCAATTCGTATTGTATTTTAAAAGGCTGTTTATTTTCTAAGGCTGTTCAATAACAGCATCAAAAAATAACTCTATTTTCTAAGGCTGTTTAATATGTTTCTAAGGCTGTTTAATAACAACATCAAAAAATAACTCAATAACTCTATTTTATGAAGCAATATATTTTATAAGGTGGTTCTGGACAGCATCAAAAAATAAGTATCATTTATGAAGCTATTTTTATGAGGCGGTTTTGGACATTTTCTAAGGCGGTTTAAGAACCGCCTCAAAAAACAACACTATTTTATAATGCTATATTTTTTGAAGCGGTTGAATAACCGCATCAAAAAATAAAATAAACCGCTTTATTAAACATCTTCTGTACTAGTGTGTTAATTTATTGAAGCATAAGATAACCACCATCATTCATTCATTTGATAAAAAAAGTGAACTTTGGAAATAAATAAAAAATAAAAAAGCACTGGTAACAAACTTTTCTATGAGTTTTACTTGGTGAGAACATGCAGATAATGGAGTGACATAAAGGTCATATGTGAGTCACCTGAAGGGTTTTCTAGCCCAATGTTTTCTGCCATTTTAAGCCCAAACTTAGTTAAAATATCCCAAAGCTTACCAATTCTGCATGTAATCATGTATGGATAGATAGATAGATAAAGATATAAAAACATGGTGAGACGAATTGAAGCACCAGATAACCAATAAACAACCATCAATAGCAATTTGTTATGGATAGACAATAAAATTGGACCAATATAGCAGGAATTGTTAGATTAAAATAACCAATGAGCTTATATGTTAGAGCTAAAACAATATATAGCACCAATCAACAACATATAGCACCAATCAACAACAATATGCACAACCAAAGCTGATAATGCCTTAAAATGAGAACTCTAGAAGCAGCGATGAAGAAATTTCTTTAGAAAAAGAGAGCATAGAGAAAGTTTTTGTAGTACACATACTCATCTCTTGTTCTCTCTTAGGCTTTTCTACTAGCACTTTATGTGCATTTTCCTTTAGCATAACTTCTACATCCTCATTTTTAGTATCATTCCTTAGCAACCTCTGTAATTCAATCAAAACACCACCATTTTATTAAAAAATTAACATGAAAGCATCCAGAAGATTAAAGGAAGAATACAAAAAGACCAATTGAAATGAGAACACTTGAGAGGGCCAAGATATGCACCCGGGAAATGATAATAACAGAAAAGATGAGACATCAAAAGTGCAAAAACATAAAAGAAAGCTACCTGGATTGATGTTCTTCCAGGTTATGCAATTTATGCTCCATAATTGATTTCTGGCACAACGAATTAAGCAATGTACTTTTATTTTACCCAAACTGACAATTTTTTTTGGTTTGATTTACTAATAATCGTGTGGGTCTTCCATAGCAAATAAAAACAACATACTTATATTTTCAACCAAGAATAGCAACATACTTATCTTTTAATTCAGTAATAGCAACGTATTTGTCTTTTTTACAAATGATAGCAACATTTATCATTTAAAAATGTTTTAATCCTATGGATCACGATGTGATTCAAGAAATTAAATATTATAAAAAAGACATTGAAAGGGAAAGATCGAAAGCGAGACAAAAAAGAATGATCGGGTTTCCAACGAGAGTTGATGCAAATATTAGACATTTGAGACAAATGTTATAAAATAAATCATCGGTGTTGATTCAACATGTTGCTTTGGCGGCTATAAGGACGTAATCTCATAGTACAATGCTATAATGAGAATAAATGAAAATGAATGAAAGTAGAATTCTATAAAAGAAAGTAAAATCAATTTATTGTTTCTACATCGGTCAACCCGGCTACTGGACAAGCATAACACTAGTTAATCATGATTTTGTTATAGCTAACCTTTCCCCCATAAAAAGAGTTTTTGAATTCCACAAGGAAAGTTTTATCCCTATTTTCTTCAATAATTGAACTCAAGTTAACAATTGTACCCATATTAGACTTGAGTGGCAATCCAACATAAAAGACTACTAAAGTAGCGGCATCACAATCTAAGGTTGAAGCCAAGCATCTCATCACATAAATTGGTACCCCTACACCAAAATTCTTATCTTTACAAAACTTCACTTTGGACTTCATGCACATCACTTTATTAAGTTTTTCTATTAATACGTTGCAATGATTTTCCAAAATCAGTGGAAAAACAAGTGGGCCAAATGTTTGATATCCCTCTACAACCTTTGCCGTTGGAAATTATTGTGATAAATAAAAAGTTACCTCCTTCAAGAATGCATCATGTGCATACATTCGAAGTACAATTAGGATTTGATGATATCCAAGTGAATGCCCTATTAATGGTATGTCAACCAGCCTTAATACATTTTAACATATAGAAGTCGTTGATATCCTTAGCTATTGTAAGAATAAACTCTGCAATTCTCCTGATCATGCAAAAGTAAGGTTTCCATGTAAGAGTAAACAAAAAATAAACAATATCTTCCATAGATCCCAATATATTTGATGGTTTCTGACCCGGGTTCATAGACAACAAGTGCAGCTCGTTCTTGATTATCATCTTTCAATCCCAATATATATCGGTTTACCACTCTTTGTAAACCCAAGTGTATTGGTGCGTAAATCCCATTTTGGTGTGTTAATAGTGAATAGCTTTGTAAACAAATTAGGGACAACACCATCCGTCATCCATACAACACAAACTTGATTGTTGGTGTTTGTACTATATTGAAACACAGCAAGACTCTCACATACCTTAGAAATTTACCAAAGTGTGCCAAACTTTCTGGTAGCTCTATCCCTCCAATCTCTTCAGTAGTCGTAAACCCATTAAAGAAAAACCAATAAATAAACTTATCTATAACCACTTGCTCCCATGTAAGTGTAATCGTTCCATTAGGCAGTTTGCTAGATGGAATTCTCCAACAACCTGCACTTAGTGTAAAAACCTCAACTACCCAGCGGATGTGAGTTTAAGTTCTGGGCTCCCTTTTGGTAATACGTGTAAACTTCACAAGTGTAGGGTCTTTAGTGGTAGGACAGACCCCAAAACCAAGAACAGTATAATGACACGACCATTGTGACACGTGCACATGTATACCAACTGATTGTTTTTCAAACGAAAGATCAGGAAAAGTTATCCCGATTGATTTTCTAATGGAAGGATTCCAGAAAACAGCCATCCCGGTGCCTGTTGCAGAGTTGTCACCAGAATCATCTGGATCTTGATAACAATCCTAGTACAAGAACAACAGTCCATGAGAGCTACCGAGCACAGATCGTAAATCCTTAATTTGTTTAGGAACAGGCGAAGTGAACTCGTGGAGGGAGAAAGTCTCATCATCCACAATCGAAACGAATCTATACTCAGTAGACAGTGGATCCATGTATCGTACAGATAGACGCTGCGGCTGAATCTGGCTGACGTTGTATTGATCAGAAATAAACTCCCAGCTGTCGATCAAAGATTTCCATGGTTTTGAGACGGATCTGACTTTGAGTAATTACTTTACAGGAAGAATTTTGATGATTTAATATTGGATTTGGATAGGAACGCTAGTCTGACATTTCGATATTGGAAGGTACTTGGGTCTTGGCGATATGAAACTTTTAGGGTTGATATAATGGGATTATCGTAGATTTCTGAAGGCGTGGGGAGTATGAAATTTGGGCCATCAATTGTACCACAGTGCTCAGGGGTTTTAAATTGTATAAAGGTATTGTTTTTTTATACATATAATGATCTTTTTTTTTATTTGTTTAAAGTGGTTAAATTTAGCTCTACTAATCTTCTTATATTCTAATAAAAAACTCTTAAACTTGTCACTTGTGGTCTTTTTAAACACCACTTGTCATCTTTTTAAACCCTCTACATTATGTTTTCCCGCTCATATACTTTCCTTTTCAATCAGACGTTTCAAAATCCAAAAAATCAGGAACTTATTTTCAAAACTTTTCAATCATATGTTGCCCCAAATATCTCCCTACATTTTGATCCATTGAATCTCTCTACAGTTGAATTTCAAAATCCCTAGCTTCATCCGGTTGTAAAATTTATAAAACCTACCTTCTCACAATCTTCATTTAGACTGTTGCAATATTTGATGCGAACCAGACAACCAGTTGCTCCAATTGCTGAAGGCTTCCCTTCCCTTCACCATATCCTTCGTTTCAGGTACACTCCATGTTCAATGGCCCTAAGTTACCATTTATGACCCTTCTTCATCTTTCATTGTTTCTTTGAGATGAATCCGATATTGAAATTCTAAATTTGAAACACTCTCATCTTTTCTCTCTTTCAGAATCCTATCCAGTTTCTTGGGTGCATCAATCGATACTGTATTTCATTCGCAATATCAATAAAGGAAGATTTTTGATATATATATATATATATATATATATATATATATATATATATATATATATATATATATATATGAGTTTGATTTCTTCTATAAATTAACCCATATTCTATGAAAAGAGGCAATCATATTGTTTAGAGTCCAAGGTCTCAGATCATCTTGACCCCCTCTGTAATTAACTTTTTATTTTCTTCTTATACGGGTTTCTTTCATGGGTCCGGTTTTACATCATGCTTTCACAATCGGGTAACTCGTCTTTCTTAACCTCTGGATTATTGGAAATTTGAAAAATATTGAGTTTTTCAAGGAGTAGACATGATATCATGGGGAGTATAGAAAATAAGGAAGTAACATATGGAGAAACGGAGATGTTACTGGAGGCTTAAATTGTTATTATCAATAGCACCCTTAATAAGCCTACATCGGTATTTATTTCTGTTTTATGTGCTTTTTCATGTATATCAGTAATTGCCTTGGTTGACTTTTTTTTTTCCCAAATTAAGTACTTTTTGTGATAAATGTGGGAATTCTTTAACATTACAGCAGTTGTTTAGCCTTACTTAATTACTTAAATTATGGAACCAATCATCATGTTTCAAAGATGTTGTTTCAGTAATATACTTTTTTGTACAGAGTCGGAAGATAGAAATCTTCTCAGGCTGTAGGTTGTTTAGGAGTAACTGGGTGACCATGATAAAAGGTATCGGGATATCTTTTTATTGTTTATTCTAATGAGTGATAGCTCATGCAATCGAAGACATCTTTTTGTTAAACTTAAGGGTAAATTTGTGAAAATTGTTTTAGAGTAAATTGTAGGTCTGATGTTTTTAGAGTAAATTGCAAGCCTGATGCGATTTTCATTATCCTTTTTTTTTTTTTTGTTCGGGACTACCATCTTTTTTGAATGGTAAATGTGTCAAGTTGCAGCAAAACCTCTATCCTATACCCTCCGTGCTTCATTGTTTATTCTGATGAATTTGTTTTCCTGACATAACTCATAATGAATTATGATGCCTTTACCCTCAATGTTAAATTAATTGATCATTCTACAATGGTTTTGTAAAAGGCAACATCAAAATAACTATGGTAAGATGTTAGTATTTCTACACCATCAAATCACATTTTCATTGTTTGTTCTACAAGAACTCTCATAAACACACACTACAACCAATTTTAGAGTTCTTGTCATATTGCTATGTAAAATCAAATATCCTTTAATGTTTATCTTGTTACCGCTTTACATGAGTAAATCTGAAAACAAACTGAATTTGAATGCCAAAAGTGGTTGTTTTAATGTATCTGTTTTTCTTGTCGATTTCAGGTACCGATTCTCTAAGATTTCTAAAAATTCTTTTGAATTAATTGTTTATTTTGCTACCGCTTCACATGAGATTTCTAAAAGTGGATTTAGTTAAAAGTTTTTTTTTCATCTAAATGTGTTCTTTTAATCGAATCACAGGATAGATGGAGAACGAGATGTAGAAAACGTAAAGAAGAGGTAGTGAAGTATTGAAGACTAATGTACTCTATAATTTGAGTTGAGAAAACAATTATTAGTATTAAATGACAGGGGGTGGAGATAGAAGAAAAATATCAAAATATTCACATGGGACGGTATAATAGGATGTTTACGCGACGTTTGTAGAGATGACCATATATGAAATAGTATTCAATGTCAAGAATAATTGTGGTAAATGGTCTAAATATAGACCAATATTTGCAATTTTTTATAAACATTAGGGACCATTTTATAATTTACTCATTTTTTTAAACTTATGTGGAATTTGTACAAAAAAGGACTACGCATTGCTCAAAACTAAACTGCTATGAAAAACAAATTATATTTCAATATCGCATATTTGATCACTCAACTATTAATACCATGATTTCTCTTGGGGTATCTGTGCATGATATATAAGCCTTTTCTTGAAGCTCCCATGTTGTTGTTTAATGCTGATGACTCTATCAAAAATCAAAGTTACAAGAGCATTCTACTGAATTAGGCCTTTTAAGTTTTAAAGTGAAAGATGCTCTTCTCTCATGTCGGTGATACGGGTATTCAGTTAAAACTCTTGTGGTTGATCTTTTTCATTTATTTCAAGTACACATTTAGCTGGAAGCTACCCTAAATCAACCCACCTGTAAATCCTACATCTATCTAAAAAACCACCATATTGTTAACCCAACAATAACATGCTACTTTCATTTTTAAGTAGAAAATATCATGATAGTTTCATTTAAAGGAATAATATGCACGATAATTTCGTTTTTAAGCCAACAATAGTACGCTACTTTCATATTATACCAACAATAAAATGCAACTTTCACTTTTAAATAAAAAATAACATGCTATTTCAATTTTAAAAACAAAATATGCATACTATTTTAATTTTTACGACAAAATAGCAAGATGCTTTTATTTTTACAACAAACATAGCAATCTATTTTCATTTTCAAGCGATAAGTAGAATGATACTTTGTTCTTTATGGCAAAATATGAATGCCACTTTCATTTTTACGACAAAAATAACATACTACTTTCATTTTTGAACCAACATTAACATGTTTTTATTTTTAAGCGGACAATAGAGTGATACTTTCATTTTTAACCCAACAATAATATGCTACTTTAAATTCTAAGCATAGCACATTGTAACATCTCGAGTCCAGGTATACCTCGTAACCTTGGTCTTTTGAGTAAGTGGTCATTTTAGTCCCTTTATGGGAAAAGGTGGTGAATGAGTATGTGGGGCGTACGCAAGTGTACGCTCAACGTACTCATATGCATGCATTTGACACGGAAGCCACCTAGTATGGTGGGCGTACTAGAGGGTATGCTGGGCATACTAGGCTCAGAGTGAAAACCCTAATTTAGGGTGAGACCCCTATTTAAAGGATATGATGGCCTGATTCCTGGCCACCATTCTCAGACATTAACCCTCCTAAACCCTAGTTTTCGTTCTTAGAGCTTTTGTGGAGTGAAGAAGGAGTCTTGAAGAAGAAGGAGTGGGATTCCAGGCCTTGGATCTTAACTTATCTGAGTGTGGAGCTTCATTTTGAGGTATAAAGCTCAAAGCTTTCTCACTCTTTTGGTTTTTTCATCTTAATAGAGTATTCAAGGGTTTTGTCACAAAAGGTGGAGACTTTATGTGATATTGTACTCCTGAGACCATGATCCACCCCCTTTAAGTATATTCACCGGTGTAGTGTCATAAAAATCCAATCTTGGACGTTGGGATCAATCCATGCATGAGATATGTGCTTTTTGTCATAAGAGGGTGAGTGATTTGTGTGTTTGGGACCTTTCCAGCCATACGAAGGCTTAATGTCCCTGACTATATGGGTTAAGAGCTATTAGAGAGTCTAGATCTGAAATATGAGCCAAGGTCTTAACTGTTTAAGATCAAACAAGTGAGAAGGGTGAAACTGGAACACACGCCGACCGTAATTCCAGTACACGCAACGTAGGGGTCGCGCATCCCCGCTGTTTGCATGGCAGCCGAGTAAGCCTAGCGTAAGGAGCTGGTATGCGCGGCGTACTCCCTACTGTTGACTTTTGATGACTTTTAGGGTTTGGTTAATTATTGGACATTTAGGGCATTGAGGGGTAAAATGGTCTTTTGACCTTCTATGAGTTAGTATAGGCTCTTGAGAGTCATGATTAATTAGGGATAATTTTCGTGTATGTTAGGCGGAGGCTAGACCGGTAATTTGAGTTCGAGATTTTGCTGACTTCTTGCAAGGTGAGTCTTCTCACTATACTTGCCTTGAGTGGTACCTTATGTGGTTGAGCTGTTTATTGTGATTATCTGTGTATTTGATATTTTGCATTATGTCTTTGTGATTGATGCTGAGTATTGTTATTATGAGCTTACTTAGTTGGGACCGAAGGGTCCCACTGAGGCACATTGACCGGACGGTCTTATCGAGTTATAGCTTAGAGTGGCTAATGAGCGGTATGAGGTATTTTGGGGAACTCACTAAGCTTCGTGCTTACCGTGTTATGTGTTATGTGGTTCAGGTAC